ATAAATTGTGTTGCCAAGCGGCTCTTCAAGTTGGACTTTAAGTAAATTATGTGGTTTTTCACAAAGAAAAACATCTTGCTTGATAATTATAATATGTAGATATTTCAAGTCTATTTTAATGAAAAATATAATCTCATAATATTTTCTCACTACATATTTTTGTATCTGCTTTGTAACAATGGAATTTAAAAGAATCAAACTTTTTTTTTCTGTGCAGTCCACACTTCTATTTCCTTCACCCGAAGGTGGTTTCCCAGATTATCTAAGTTGAGTTCTCGCGGAGATTGTATGTTTATTTTTCGTTACTTGGCTTGTACACCTTTTCTAATTAAAGGTCGGCCGCTTGATGTGGCTGGGATCTCTGACTTTCCGATTTTGTTCAGTTCTCGGCCGCTTTGTTTTGCGTTTAATTATCGCCTTTGTGTTTCTTTCAGCTTTTCAGTCTTTTTTTCTCTTTTTTTGAGCAAATACCGCGGCCTTTGCCGACGATCGTGGCGCCAAGATAAACCAAAAGAACATGTTTTGCTCTCAAGTGGCCGACACAATGGGAATCAACTTGTTGTTGTTGTTGAGTCATCAAGAAAGCATTTTGGCGTCTGATATGAAACACGCCGCCTTGCAAATTAACTTTGGCCTAAGCCACTCCAAACAGATATAGGCGCAAATTGAATGGCGAACGCCGGCGGCCAAAGGCTTACGTGACTTGCTGATGACCTACAAAAGGGATTCTATTATACAGTATCATGTTTTGTGAGAAATTGTTAGTTTTGGTAGTATCCATGTAGTGAATGGAAAGCGCAATCAGAAATCAATCAGTAAACTTTACTACCTGAAACGCATTTAAAAACAAGAAAGGAAGCTAGCTTCGGCAAGCCGAAGCTTATATACCCTTGCAGTCATCAAACAAATCGAACAAAATACATAAAGGCTAACAACCTCGAAGCTATGACGACTTTTCTATTAATTTTCCATATTTTCGACTGTTGTTCATATGGCAGCTATATGATATAGTAGTCCGATTTTTATGAAATTTTTTTCTCGGTTCAAGGGTAGTTCATAAAGTCGATGTTGTAAAAATCATGCTCGTGGAATAAAAAACAACAACGTTATGATTATTTTGCCATTATTTCTATATATATTTTTGATCTTTCCTATGGCAGCTATATGATAGGGCTATCCGATTTTGATAAAATTTAATCCGAAATTCAATAACCGTTAGAAAACGCCATCTTGAAGAATTCAAGTCGATCTGATCAAAAACAACGGCGTAATAATTTTTTATCCTTTATTTTTTTGACCTCTTGTATGGGAGCTATCCGATATAGTCGGCCGATCCGGCTCGTTCCGACTTATATACTGCGTGCAACAACTACACAACTTTTGGGAAAGTTTCAGCACGATAGCTTTAAAACTGAGAGACTAGTTTGCGCGGAAACGGACAGACGGACAGACGGACAGACGGACAGACGGACAGACGGACAGACGGACAGACGGACAGACGTACATACATATTTCGATTCAGATGGTGATGCTGATCAAGAATATATATACTTTATGGGGTCTGAGGTGTCTCCTTCACTGCGTTGCAAACTTCTGACTGAAATTATAATACCCTTTGCTCTGCAAGGGTATAATAAGTTAAGTTTTTTATAAAATTAAATCCGATTTAAATGGTGTAATAACATTTCAAAAAAACGTTCTTTATACCTTTACAATAGGTAATAATACTTGTACCATTCATTTAGACTTTAACCAATTAGTGGTTGCTTTGCATGAAATTAGGGTAATTAAATAAACAGATAGACTTCAAATAGGAAGCAAATATACCCTTTGTGGCGCAAATTTCCTTCTTCTACGATCTCTGCAAGTTGAATGTTTGCTGTTTAACTACAGCTCAAATCTGAAAGGTAAACAAGTCCCAGACCTTCACTGCAAGCAAGTGAAAGCTCTAGCCGTCAACTTCAGGTGGCTTTGGACTATAATGGGCCCCGCCCTGAAAAACCTGGGCAGTACAAGAAGCCCCACCTCGAGGCCTAAATGCTAGGCCCTCAGCCTGCGGGCGTAATGAATTGAATTTGTGCATTTGCGTAATGTGTGTTCGTAGGGCAGACATGATTAGCTCCGGCCACACGGACCACTTCAATCCCTCAGACGACCGCAAAAGATGTCTTCAAGAGACTGGAGCCAAGCCCAAGGGCTCAAAGTCACCTGAGAGGTGAGGTCACAGTGTCGAAATGGGCGCCCCAGCCTCATGAATTTTCTATGATAAATGGAACGTCACGGCCTGCGGCTTATCTATCAAAAGAAGCACACGAAACACGAAATTGAATGCAGCCTACGTGGCGGATGAGTAACGCATGTCGAGTTCCCTTCGTCTTGCTCTCAATTGACGTCGCTTCGCTGGAATTTGGAATTTGGTCGTGGGATCGCTTTAGAGCCAGCTCAGATAATGGTCATTAACATATCCATGTCCACATGCTTATCCGGATTTCTGATGCTGTGTAATTTTTGTGTTATCAAGTCACTGGTGCCGCTGATGCTGTAGATAAAAGTTGTCCAGCTGAGATTTGCATAATTAATTAGTGTGCTTGTGACTGGGCTTTATAGTGCAAATCAAAAATGCGCATAAATTGGATGAAAACGTTATAAATTGTCCGTAATAAAACACGAATTTACGAAATAATTTGTTGGGCTGTTAGAAAGCAGGTGGCATTTGACAACTTTTATAGTGACTTGCCGTCAAGGGAAACTGAGATAATTGTGTAGGTGGTGTACGATTTATGAAAATAAATATTAAAAAAGTAGTCAAACTTTTTAATTAACGAATTCATGTTAGATAATCCCAGATTATATGGCATTTTTATGTTCCTTTAACAATAGACTGAAATTCCAGCCAGACGCCCCACAATTTCAGATTGTCGAGTGGTAAATGGGTCAACTCCCCAAACCCTCCATTCGTTAGCCACCTTCACTGCAGGGTAAACAATTCCAGCACTCGGCAGGACTCAACGACTAGCTCATTTCCCTGGCACTTTGGCTAATTGTCTTCAATTGTCGCCACCTCAGCAACTCTTTTCGAAATCCCGCTCCTGCTGGGGAAAACAACAAAGGCGAAAGGAAAAGCGACCAACAAAGTACACAAAATGGAGACTTGGGACTGCTTTGCTTGCATAATGTTCATGCAATTAAAAACCATGTCCTGGACTCAACGCAAATGGGCGGGGTCCTTGGCAAGGACGCGGCTCGCACAAATGAAAAATGAAAGGCGAAATGAAAAATGAAAAATGAGGAATGGAAAACGGGAAAACGCGCGTAGGAGCCGCAAATTTGGGTCAGCAGGCGAGAAGCGAAAATTTCCCTTCGTCCCCTGCGTTTTTTAAGCGCGCTAATTAATTAAAAAGAAGCAGATACAATGGAACCGCGAATGGATAGTGCGGCTGAAGAACTCAGGAAAGAGTTAGTGGAGTGAATTACTGCGGCGAAAGGCGTAGAACGAGGCTAGTGGGATTGGGATTTGTGTGTCAAGTGGGGATTATGCTGCAGCAGGGTGTTTCCTTTCCTCACTCAATCGCCTTGCTGGGTTAAAAAGAGCGTACTTACTGAGATATAAATCTAATGAAAGGACAGTGAGGAACTAAATAAGTCTGGTAATGAATACTATATATTGTTTTGTGAGATATAACTTATTTTCGGAGTGACTAGCACAATAACTTATAGGTAACCAAAATTTTAGAAATTAAATAGGCGAATGAACATCTTTAATAATATGATTAAAGAATTTTCCAAGTCAAATGGTTTTATTTATTACGCAAGTAATATATATTTTACATAAATATGTACATATTACATATTTAATCGTAAAATATTTCAAAACAATTACTAACATCTGCTTAAAGTCGACCTATTTACACATCAAATCAACACATTTTTATTATTGAAATGTACACTAAGTCCGTTTCGGTTAACTAGAAATGCTGCCCTTATTTATTTTCAAAGTACACCAAATACCCAAATCACTCTTTCCGCTTTCGCACTGTTACTGAACATCAAACAGTCGCAGTCGGATTCGCTTCGCTTTGGCGCGGTTCACGCGTCGTATGAGTAATGGGTAATGAATGGGCCAAAAGCGACCGCAGCCCATGGACTGCTCATCTGTTGGCTCAGCTTTCAGCACTCGGGTGGCCACAGCAGCCCGACCAGATAATACTGCAGCCATTTCAATTAAAAATGAAAGAAACAAAACCGAAACCGAAACCAGCAAAAAAAAAAAGGCCGAAAAGAAATGAAAACTTTGAGTGCCGCCGCCGACGACGACGTCATTAATTAGGAATGCTCTCCGAGCAGTCGCCTTTCAAGTTTCTCGAGGGGATTCAAAGAGATCGGCATTGGCCGCCTGGTCGCCATCGCTTTGTGTTGGCGTCGAGGCATAAACTTTTGTGCTGTTGTAATGCGCTTTGTGCAAATTGCAAATAAATTGCAAGACGCCAGCGAAAGGCGCACCGAGAAAAATAATGAAGACTTTCTTTGAAATACAAAATTAATGTACTGTAAATTTAATCAAATAACTTAGCGTTTGTAGTTGAATTAGATATAATATATTATAGGTAATCTTTATTTTTATATATTAGATTATCTCTTTCGTAAAAATCCCATACCATTTAATGCGATTTTTTAAAAAGATTTCTGTACCTCACATTTCCCTATAAACTGTATTAGGTCTTGTACTCACAGTTTTAAAAAAAGAAAACGTTTAGGCAAGAGCAAGAACTTAAAACTAAAAATGAACAGAATTTTTTCATGTGCTTTGATGACGGGACAAATTGGAGCTACTTATTTAAATTTGCTAAATATGGGAGAAACTTTTCCGCAGTGGCCGAAAGGCCGACAAAAGCCAGGGGATTAGTTGGCCAAGGGGGGCAGGTCGGCAGTGTTTTTATGCCGCCAATTTCACGGCACTTTGCATTTTAATTAAAAGCATCCCACCCTTTCTGTCGTTGCAGTCCAGGAGTGCACCACAGACTCCGAGGAGCTGATGTACCACCAGGTGCGCGCCTCCTCCTCCTGCAGCGCCCCGCCCGACTTGCTGCTGGTCAGCGAACGTGACAATAATATCCAACTGCGATCGCCGGTGGTGAACATAATCACCACGCCGCCGGGCAACGCCTCCAGTGGGGCGGGCAAGCAGCAGGCGCACCTGCACCACCCGACGAACCCGCACCACCACCACGCCGCCGGCAGGAGCCACCCGTCGCAGCCAGGACATCCGCAGGACGTGATCAGCGGCGGCAGCCACAGCAAACATCTGCGCATCAGCAGCACGAACAACGGCAACGGCAACGGCAAACACGGCAAGTACTCGAATATGCAGCACAATGTGCACTTGCCGCAGGACGAAGACGTGGTGGATGCCGCAGCCTCGATGCAGCAGCAGCAGCACGGCGGCCACGCCCACTCGCGGCACCTGCACCACCACAAGGAGGAGCGCATCCGACTGGAGGTGAGTGGGTGGATCTACCTTAAGCCAAACAACCACATCTCTCTGAGACTCTGTACTTTACTTTATGAATTATCCCCCACAATCATTTGCAACCATCTTGGCAACCCATAAACTCTGGGTTAAATAGTCCGTTCTGATTTCAATTTGCACTCATTCAATAATGAATTTATGGATCGGATTTGTCTTGTTTTCCCCGTTTCATAACACAAATATTTATGGAGCCATTAATTGGTGCGCCCTGCGAAGGGGTTGCTCGAAATGTTGTTGAAGCTTGCAATCCCATTTTAATAGTAGTTCCCACAGAGCTCAAGGCAATAAACACTACACTTGAGAAATGTTTTCGTTTAATCAAATTCCAAATACACTTTCATATAATGTTGTAGAGCATAAACAAATTAATTGAACCGATTTTAATTGCCCAGCGAATTTCTACTTTAATTGTATTGATAGAATTAAAATTGAATGGCAAAATTTTTCAATTTCTTATTACGTAGAATACTCTATGAGAAAATTCAATGGCCGGGTTCTTTTTCAATTAGCCAAACAATCGCCTTGCTTATAAATACAAGGTGATAAATTAAATGATGTTTGCTTTTCCATTGCGGCTTTTGCTGACCCCCAGCCAGGTGTTTGGTTTGGTTTGGTCAAGTTTAATCAACTCAGCAGCCGGCTGTTGGCCACGATTCCTGGCCATAATTCATGACCCACTGGGCACATCGCACATCGCCCATAAACTCAACATTTCAATGTGCTTTTAATTAAAATCTCAATGGCTGCTCGCTCACCGCGATGGCCCCAGATTCAGCTTCATTTGTTGTTCCACCCAGCCACACAGCCAGCTTCCACCCACGAAAATAAAATCGGGAAAGAGGGCAAAAATGTTTCATTAACACAAGGGCGCCGGCAATTTTCCATTACCACCCACTGCGGCGGGCGAACGCAGCTTCTACTCGTGCCCGTTTCGCCAAAAAATATCAAAACATTAAAATTCAATAAAAACCATTAAGAGCAAAACAACAAACACGAAAAGCACTCAGGGGCAATTAAAAATCTACAAGCCAGGCAGCGGCAAAGGAAATTATATTTATTTGTATGCCATTCGAGGGGCCATTGAGGGGAATCTGGATGCGGAGTGGAAATTCTCTGGCTCTGTTCTCTGTGCAGAATGCTGACTGCTGACTGCCTCTTTATCAGTGGTAATGGTTCCTGCCCCCAGGACGTGCCCCCTGCGAAGATGACGTGGCTGCTGCTGCTGCTGCTGCTGCTGCTGCTGCTGCAGGGGCAAATTAAATATTTAGTCAAATTATGGCCACAATTTTCGACTGGTTTTAGTGGTCTTCTGCAGCTGGCAATTGTTGTTTTTAGTGGCAGCTGGTTGCGGCTTTAGTTTCTGCTACTTTTTGCCACGAGGCATCCCAATCTGCGATGCTCAACGTGTTGCATCTGCAAAAAGTGCTGCATACTTTCGGGTGAGCTGAAATTTGCAGTGCAATTTTTGTACTGAAAAGGGAAAAGTTTATTAGCAGGATTTTTTGTTTATTTGGAGTTAGTTTGCCACTGCATCAGCCTTGTGCAGCTGTTAAAAATGTGAGGGCGAAAGTTTTGCAACAAATTTCAGGGCAGAGGAATTCGAGCTTGCGGAAAATTCTAAATGGAATGGTATTTATTTGTCTGAGGTGTTAGAAAGCAGATTAAATATGTTGCCATAGCAGTTTAAAATACATAACAAGTTTTTGAAACTAATAAACAAATTACAGAGTGTTACATACATAGGTGTTTCGCTAATTAAGCAGTCATTTTGGGTGTTTACGGTGATGGTTGTTAATTTGTTTTGTTATGTTTTGTATATTTAATGCACTAAGTTATAGAATCATTCATGATCCAATTAAATCAACCAAATCTTTAATTTAAAAGGATATTCTTACAATATTGTTGAGCTATTTAAACAAGGGTCTTTAATTAAGGCATTGCTAAGCAAACCCTTTGGGAAAATGCAATTTCCGAGGAATGTTTGCTCTGCGCTCTTGATTTGAATCGAACTCAGAACCAAATGAAACCATCACTCATCCGACTTCTATTTGTATTCAAAAACAGGAATTCACCTGCGACGTGTCCGTGGAAGGTGGAAAGTCCTCGCAGCCGCTGCAGTTCTCGTTCACGTTCTACGATTTGGACGGCCACCACGGCAAGATAACAAAGGACGACATCGTGGGCATTGTGTACACCATATACGAGTCCATCGGCAAGTCGGTGGTGGTGCCCCACTGCGGCAGCAAGACAATCAACGTGCGGCTCACCGTCAGTCCCGAGGGCAAATCGAAAGCGCAGCCGGTGGTTCCTGTGCCGGTTGCAGCCGGATTCGGCAGCAGCCACGCCAGCAAGCTGAAGAAGCTGCCCACGGGACTGGCGGCCATGTCGAAACCCCTGGCAGGAGCAGCTCCAAATGCAGCTGGAGCTGGAGGTGGTGGTTCCGGTGGGGCCACGGCACTAACGACTTCCGCCGGCAACCGCCGTCAGCATCGCTATCGCCCTCGCAAACTGATTAAGTCCGATGACGAGGACGATGACAGCAACAGCGAGAAGGAGAAGGACCCCTCGGCCCCGTCCCTGGAGCAGCCCAGCGGGAGCGGGGCGAGGAAGAGCCACCACCAGTCCCGTTACAGTCACGGCCAGAAGATCAGCTCCCGGGCGGAGCAGTGCTGCTCGGAACAGCACACGCCGGACAACAACGCCCACAACACCTACGAGAACATGCTGAATCTCAAGTGCTGCAAGCCGGAGAGCGACCAGGTGGACTGCCCCTCCCACCGCCAGCACCAGCAGCAGCAGCACCACTTGCAGCACCACCAGAACCACCAGATGCGCCAGCAGGACATCTACATGAAGCAGGCCACCCAGCGGGTCAAGATGTTGCGGAGGGCGCGCAAACAAAAGGTAGGCACAAGGTAACAAGCGAATCATGGCAAAAACAAATCTCTATTCGAAACTTTAACTGCTGCCAGCTTAGCATGGGCATAAATGTGCATGGATATTAACTTATAAATCAGAAATTCGATACTAATAATATTTAAATGAAAAGAGGTGTTAATAGAGTAAAAAAATATTTCAGAACTTTCTTAATTTAATACGCAAGTAATCAGAGGTCATAATTCAGAATAATAAAAAATGTAAATGTTGTAAAAATAATTCAATTAACTGTTTTAAATTATTTAAAGAAATTTAATACATTTTATAATCGATTATGACAAAGCATATTATGAACACATGTATAATAATAATAACTGAATAATTATTTGAACTATTTAGATGGGTTGTAAAATTGTAAAAATTAAAATTGAATTAAATTAAATTAAACAGCATATTGCTGTTTGCAGCATATGTTAAATAGGTGTAAAAGAGATTTAGTGTATGAGGAAAGCATATTTAGCCTGGCAGCAGTTGCAAACCAAACTCCCTGACCCGAGAAAATGTCGCCTTTTGTTTTTGTTATCCTTCTGTTGCTTACCACATGCGTTCACCGAACTTTATTGTTTGCCTTATTTCAATTTAATTTCGTTTCCTGTTATTTTTGGTTAACTCATCGCCATCAATCAAACACGAACCACCAACAACCAACGAGCAGTACCAGGATCACTGCCTCGAGTCGCGACAACGCAGCCAGTCGGTGGGCAACGAGTCCGCCTGGCAGAACCGCCATCTGCAGCCGCAGCAACCACCGGTGGGTCAGGCGGGTGGCTCGCCCCCCAGCCGCTGAACCACAAGAGCGCGTCGGGGTCGCCACCGCCGGGCGGCCTGGGTGGTGGCGACATGATGCTCGACGGCGTGCAGCTGCGCCAGCCACGCCCCCAATCGCTCAGCCAGCAGAATCACCAGCAGCAGAGGAAGTCGGCCGAGTGCTGGAAATCGGCGCTGAATCGCAACGATTTAATTAGCATCATCAGGGAGAGCATGGAGAAGAACCGCCTGTGTTTTCAGCTGAATGGGTAAGCCAATCCGCGACGAATCCACCCCGAGTCCTCAGTGATTATGAGCGGAGTGAACTGAAGCGAGGCTAGGAAAGTCAACAATGCTCCTGGCAGGGGTTTCGCATTTTCCGCAGAACAATTGCACCAGGAAAATACGTTTTATTTTTATAGACAATTCAAAATCGAATTTTTGTCCAATTAAATGCTGGCATAATTCAGCTTTTCACTAGAAGAGAGAATGCTGTCTATTTAATTATTTCTCTTTTTTTGTACATACTGCAGAGCAAGTAATTTACATATATCAGTTGAACTTCAAATCAATCATTAAATCATTATATATTAGTTTTACATAGTTCAGAGTAAACATTTCTTTTCGATATTGCTATAAGAATATATATATTTTAATTTACGTATTGTATTTTGTAAAAATAATTTTAATGGATATTCAAAACTGCTAAACGTGTTTAACTACGCTCAGTTCACTTAAAAAATCATATTTTCAGTTCCCATTGAATATAATTAGCACCCTTAACCAACCACCCCAAAGTATTATGTTTGCCTTTTTTTTTTTTTTTTATGTTTTATGGCGACATTAAACCTCCTGAAATTCCTTACAATACCTCCCCAGAAAAAACAACGAAATGAAAACCAATTAAAGGAATGTCCCTTCCGATTTTGCAGAAAACCCCAAGCCAATGTGAGTCCCATACGGCAACCGGCAGCACAACAACAACAACCACAACAACAGCAACGCCAACGCTGCAATACGGGCTCGAAAATCCCCACGTTAATTGCCAACCACAGTCCGGTCGCCCTGCAGTCGCCGCTCAGCTGCAGTCCGCCCACGGCGGACACCACCTGCATTCCAGTGGCACCGCCACCGCTGGCCATCGAGGTCAACGGTCAACAGCAGCAGCAGCAGCAGCAGCAGCAGTCGCACCACAGCCACAGCCACCACGAGCATCCCCAACCACACATACCCATCTACCACCAGCAGCTGGCCATTAATCCGGCCGTCCTGGCCGCCCAGCAGACCCACAACACGGCCCACAACAAGCTGAACCTCTGTGGCTACGACTCCTTCCTGCACGCCACCATCTGCGGGGGCGGGGCCGCCGCCCACTCGCCCCCAGCCACGCCCAGTAATGTGGCTACGGTCCAGCCGATTCCGAAGAAGAGCCAGCGCAGCAGCAAGGACTACAAGAACTACGGGAACCTCATCTACGCCAAGCTGAGCGAGCAGCTGCAGCAGAAGGATCGCGAGCAGCGCCGCCAGCGGCACAAGCAGCAGCAGCACCACCACCACAATAACCACCAGCTGCTGCAGGATGAGCAGAAGGAGCAGCGGCCGCCCACCTCGAACTCCAGCTCGGCGGGATCGAAGATCTACGGCGACGCCGTGGAGTGCGCCCACCTGCTGGCCAGCGAGGAGGAGGACCTGCCCCCCAGTCCGCAGCTCACCAGCACGCCCAGCAAGGTGGTCAGCACCGACACCCTCATCGATCTCAATGATGATGTGGGCGAGGCAGTGGCCGAGGCGGTAACGGAGGGGGGCAAGCAGCCTGGGGAGGCGGAGGAGGCGGGTCAGCAGGGGGAGGTGGAGCTGGACACCAGTGCCTCCAGCTCCATGATCCACCGCTACGTGCACGAGCACATCCACCACCACTACCACCACTTCAAGGAGCAGCAGGATGTCTAAGCCAGAGAGGGGGGCACCCACTAAACCTACTTGAATGTTGCTTATGTTTCAGTCTATTGAGTAATGTAGCGCGAATTGTAATTTAAAGTAAGCCTCAAACTAAATCAAGAAATATTCGAAAACGATATTAGGGCCACAAGCAGTTGGGTTGGAGAAGGGAGTTTGGAAAGGAAAAATAGATTATTAACAAAATTAAAATTTAATAACATTTGAACCAATTAAGATTTATTACAGAGAGTAAATTCACAATAGATTGAATAATGATCATGTAAAAATATTGTATTTAAACCATCATTTTTATTACTCCAGTTCCAAACTCACTTTTCCAACTCAGCTGGGGGAAAAACTTCAGAGCCAAACTGGAACCCATTGAAGGTTTAACCCACTGTGAGATCCACTGATCCCAGCATATATGTAGCCTCTATAGCTTACGCAAAGAAAAAGAAAAGAAAGAAATTTATGCGCCTTTTGCCTTAGCAACAATCGAATCGCCGCTTCGCTATGATATGCTAATCAACTAGCAACATGTTGCAGCCACACATATCACTATCAGAAACAACATGTTGCCCCAAGCATTTTGTGTTGCTGTGTGTGTACGTGTAAACTAAATGGGAGGAAACTATTGTTTAGTGCAAATTATTAAATCAAATTGTTGTCTATGATATAAAATTTTATGCGCCGCTTTTTAAGTGTTTAGACAGAGAGCAACAGATTAATTGATTGCAGTGGAGCTACGGCCGCCAGTTTTAGGTTAACTATCGATCGTGTATATTTATGTTATCTAAGCCAATTAATTTAAACGCTATTTTTAGTTTGTAACACTAACCCAAAACAAGACAAGCAACAATGCAACTAAGTACTAAACCACAACAACAACAACAACAAACGCACAAATTGTAGTTCAATTATCATTTAAAACTCGTTTTAACTTCGTCATCTGTCAACCAATCGATTCACCAATCCAATCAATCAATCAAATCAAACGAAACAAGCACAAAAACAAAATGCATTTAACTCTTATTTACATAAAAAAGACTGATTTCCAATTAAACAATATATTAATTAATTGCATATGAATAAAAAATATATATAAATATATATAGACAATTTATAAGAAATACTAAATAAATTATTGAATTGCTAAAAAGAAATTTATCTGATGAATTTTTTACCTGGAAGTGGGCTGTTCACTTGTATGCTTGGTAAGTACTTTGTTGAGGCAGTAAACTAGGGGCTGTAACCATTTTAATATGAAATTAAATTTGACAACTGGCATACTAAACTTTTTAGCTGGATTTGTGTATTGGCATCTTACCTTTTTAAAAAGCTGGAGTGAATATTTCAAAGCGGAGACTAATAAGGAACTTTTCAGGGATTAGTATATATAAAGTCATTAAATCAATAATCTTTCGAGTCAGTTCAACATCAAAACACATCGATAAAAAGCGGCCAGAGAACATTTATCAGCATAAAGAAACTGCCTGTTGCACAGACTCTCTCATTGCAGAACGCCATAAGCATTAGGCATGAATAAATATTGCCGGCTGCCAACAAATTGGACATTGTTCTTGGTTTTCGGAATACACGACACAGAGGTCTAATTTTAAATAGTCGTGCGCCATGTGACAGAGATTTGGAAGAGGAGAGCGATCCAAATCCGCTCGAGCGTTTATTTTTTGGCAGCAGACGGAGACACAAAGGAAAATGTTCTCGCAATCAGATCGCGAGTAGAGTCCGAAGACAGAGCACTGAAAATTGTTTGTCTGTTTCCTCAGTGAATTTTCAACCACAGGGCATTACGCAAACACAGGGAGATTAGTTGGAGATATTTCGGAGATTTATTGGATACCTTCTGAAGGCAGAAGAAGACTGTTTTTGATGGCTCCCAGTTCGCTGACATCCTGCGCCTTGTGCCAGGCCAAAGCATCGCAATTGTGCGCCGCCTGCAGGAATGTGGTGTATTGCAGTCGGGAGCACCAGAAGGAGCATTGGAAGAAAGGTCACAAGTCGGAATGCAAGTGCTTCGAAGTAGCCACCAACGAAATCTTGGGCAGGCATCTAAAGGCCACCAGAGATATCAAAATCGGAGAGCAGATCTTCAAGGAGGCTCCACTGATTGTGGGTCCAAAAGTCGCCTCCGCTCCACTTTGCTTGGGCTGCCACAGGAATTTATTAGCTCCCGAGAAACCCAACGGAAATTACTACAAATGCAGCTCCTGCAGTTGGCCTTTATGTGGCAGGGAATGCGAGGAATCCCCTCACCACAAAGCCGAGTGCCAACTGATGTCGGGTAGCCACTTCCAATCCAAAATAAACTATGTACCAGGCGAAGAGGAGCGGAAGGAGTCCGCCTATTGTGTGATCATGCTGCTCCGTTGCATGCAACTTAAGACCAAGGATCCAGAGGCTTTTGTCAAACTTTACACCCTGGAAGATCACCTCAAGGAGCGATTGGAGACTCCTCTCTACCAAGTACTGCGTGCCAATCTCATAACCTTCATTAAAACCGTCCTGGGCCTGAAGGACTGGCCAGAGTTGGACATCCTGCGCATTGCTGCCATCTTGGACACAAACACCTTTGAAATTAGGCAACCCAGGGAAAGGAGAAAGATTCGAGCCCTCTTTCCCGGAGCGGCCATGATCTCGCACGACTGTGTGCCCAACATGAGACACCGTTTCGATGACGATATGAACGTGGTTTTCCTAGCCAAGAGGAAAATAGCAAAGGGCGAGATCCTGAGTATTTCCTACACCCAACCGCTGAGAAGCACCATTCAGCGCAGGGTGCACCTCCGGCAGGCCAAGTGCTTTGACTGCTCCTGCGCCAGGTGCCAGGACCCCGAGGAGATGGGCAGCTTCGCAGGGGCTCAAACGTGTCCGAAGTGCAAGGCAGGGAAGGTGAGTGCATTGTGTTCAAACGGATTTGGAAACCCGTGCGATTTTATCAATTTAATTTGCACTCTCTGAAGCTTTCACAATAGAAAATAAGAATGATACCCTTACTTTACCCTTACTTCTTATTGTGTATTAAAATTGCATTTTAAAAACTATCCAAAAAAAGTTGTATTCTAAATATAAATTCTTTAATTATGAACAAGAAGTGTTTAGCAGTTATTTTTAAAGCTTTTAGTAGTACATTTACTATTTACTAATTTTTGTTAAAAGTAACTTAATTTTGGCATCCAAAACTAAGTGACTAACAGGTGCAGAGAAAAGCAATGATAGTGAAAACAATTTTTGCCCCAAAAAAATCTACGATTATCTACGTTTGTGGTTAAAGTATATACTCATTTATATATTTATTATGTTTCAAAAAAGTAATTTTGGTATTGTAAGTTATCTTTTATAGTTAAAATTCTATAATTGTTAAATTTTTTTCTGATATTACAGATAATTTCCCTTAACCCTCTGCAAAATTCCACACCTTGGAAGTGCCAGCTTTGCAATCTGAAGAGATCAGCGAAAGAAGTTGTTACTTCTGATGCAGAGCTTCAACAGGAATTGGAAACTCTGGACAAGACAACTCCCTTAGCGCTTGAAGACTTCATATATCGTCATCGTGTTGATCTCCATGAGACAAATACTCATGTCCTACAAGCCAAATACGCACTCACCCAGTTATATGGAAGCGCTCCAGGATTTTCCATGGAGGGTAATACATCATATTCTATAACTTATAAAAGAATAAATCAATTTTTATATCTTGTTTTAGAACTCTCTGAAAAGTCGCTCAACCGAAAAGTGCAACTCTGCGAGGAACTCCTTAAGCTGGCGGACATTTTCGATGGCGGCTGGAGTATTTTCCGGGGAAATCTTCTCATAGATATGGAAGAAGCTATGGTGACTCAAGCTCTGCGCTCAGAAGACGAAGCAGAGTGTGAACAGAAACTCAGAAACGCATCGGAAATGCTTAGAGAGATTCGAAATATCATGAAACATGAACCGGAAATGCAACAGGTGCTATTGGAGCGTCAAGTCATTTTGAATTCCGCCCTAGAGCGGTTTGAAAAAGTTGAAAGTTAAGAATATATTTACGTTATAGTTTTTTCCTTAATTGTGTTGTTTTGTTGTTTGTGCTTATATAGCTATAGAATGTTTTATACAAAAGTCAATCAATTACAACGTAAAGAAGGAAACACTTCCGACCCTATGTTGAGTCTTAATTGATCAGTTCGATAATATCAACGCTTCTTTTTAGTTTTAAATTTGAACGACTCGCGCCAAAATAGTGATGTATCAGTCAGCTATTGACAGCTTGAAGTCAAAGAAGTTTTGAAACTGCTAGCAAATGTTAGTGAGCTTTTATATTGGAAGGGTGTATTTCTTCGCTTAAATATACGATGGTAGCGAAAATAAATAAGAAATATCGAATAGCAATTTCTTCTGTACCATCTCTAATCAACACATTTCACGTGTTTTTGTGTTTATATTTGAATTTGCTTTAAAAAATACTTATAACTTAGGCGAAATGGAGTGTTTAACTGCAGAAATACCAGCCGATATAGTAGATAAAAGTATAGAAGTCAAGGAAATTGAGGAAGGTGTTCAGGAATCAAAAGATCCTTCAGTTGAAACTGCTAAAGATGAAACCGCAAATGCCGGCGAGGAATTCGCCTATTTGGAGCGAAATGAATTTACTTCGGAAATATACAAGATAGAAGTAAAAAACATGGGCTATTTCGGAATTGGGGTAGGTCAAATAATCCCTAAGTAAATATTATAAAAATATATAAATGTTATTCTATTGTAGGAGTTCAAGAAGCTCTTGAGGATCACCCTCAAATTGGACGTGACGAAAATAAAGTCGCCGACCCGAAAGGAATTCGCGTTTGTGTGCTTTCGCACTCAGGAGGATCAACAAAGGGCCTTGGAAACCCTAAATGGGTATAAGTGGAAGGGGAAAGTCCTGAAAGCTCAGGCCGCCAAAGCCTCCGCCGATCCCCTCCTGAAAAAACGGGCTGCTGAAGATCAGCAAACAGAGAGAAAGCCCAAAAAACAGAGAACGGCCGTGGAAGCCACATGTCCCTTAGCGGATATTCCTTACGAGCAGCAACTTAAGCAGAAATCCGAGGAAATGTCGGCACTCCTATCAAAGTACACCCAAGAACTCAGGCGCCTGAATCATCGGGCAAAGCCTCATCTGGATAAATTCAAATTCGAAGGGGTGCTACCCTCTCCCACCATAAATGGCTACAGAAACAAAAACGAGTTCACTGTGGGAAAGAACTCGGCAGGAGAGGTGGTTGTGGGCTTTAGATTGGGCTGCTATAGCGATGGATCCGTGGAGGTGGCCGAAGTCCAGGATTTGCCACATCTTCCAGAAAAAGCCAAATGGGCTGCGCGCAGTTTTCAAGAGCTGGTGAGGAAGTCCAAGTTCCTGCCTTTCAATCCTGAGGGAAATGTAGGTCACTTCCGCCAGCTGATGGTGCGATGTTCGAGTGCCACAGGTGAACTAATGCTGGTGGCTGGCATTTACTCCTCGAATTTAAGTGACGTCGAGCAGGCCGAACTGAAACAGGAGCTCAAATCCTTCTACGAAGAAGCTGAGAAAGATTCACCGCTCAAATGCACCTCTCTCTACTATCAAGATGTCAAACACCGGGAAGCAGGGCAGATGGTCAATCCAGTGGAGCACATTTCCGGCAGCACCCACATCAGTGATACCATTCAGGGTCTCCAGTTTCGAATCAGTCCATTGGCATTTTTCCAAATCAACACGGAAGGAGCCAATGTGTTGTATCAAAAAGCCATCGATTTAGCTGCCCCCACGAAAGACACCACCATGTTGGACATTTGCTGTGGCACTGGAACCATTACCCTGGCGTTTGCCAAGCACTGTAGAAATGTTTTCGGCGTGGAAATCGTCCCTGATGCCATTAAGGATGCTGAGTTCAATGCAGATGCGAATGGGATCAAGAACTGCAAGTTCTTCACCGGAAATGCAGATGATTTCATCAAAAGTATGGTGCGCGAGGCGCTTTATGAGCAGGAGATTGGAAAGCCTGTCGATCTCATTGCCGTAGTTGATCCCCCAGAGCTGGATTGCGTAAGTTTTTAAAGTACCAACAATATAAACATTATTACTACATTATCGCTTTATAGATAGGAAACTTTATTGATACTGGCAATTTGATATTGATATATTCCTTATTTAATTCCATCAAAGAGTTCATTGTATTGCAATCGTTTTATCATTTTATTAACACCTAACTAGTCGATTTTATGCTCTAAATTTGTATTTACCTTTGGCAATGCAGATCACCGCTCGATAGCCGCAATCCGCTCAGCGGACGCCATCAATCGTCTGGTATACGTGTCCTGCAATCCGCACAGTGCCAAACGGAACTTCATCGAGCTGGCCAGGCCGGAGTCTAAGCAATACAAGGGAGAGCCGTTCTATCCGAAGTCCGCTGTGGCCGTTGACATGTTTCCCCACACCACGCACACCGAGCTGGTCATTCTGTTCGAGCGTGAGCCCAAGACAAAGGCGGATGAGAAGGCATCGCCGGAGGCAGCGGGCGAAGAGTCAAAGTCTGAGGCAACCGCAGAAGCTGAAAGCGAGGAGAACACCGCATCCGCAACGTGACGTGTTTGTTGCCGGGTACAGTTTGCTCATCTGCAATCTATTGCACTTTTCTACAATCTGAATCTTTCAGGTCAGCCGCGATTCGCTCAGACACCGAACACCCAGATGCCTCATTACCTCTTATCTGCCGCGTTGCTGGCTTCGATCATTTTCTCTCTTTGTGGCGGCTGATGCTACGACTTTTATTGTTTTAAATTGATTTAATTGTATTTACGCTGTGCGACGGGGAGGAAGCGGCAAAAGTGACAAAAGCTACTTCCTATTTAGTAGGAGACTCTAAGTTGGAAGCCCCGTTAAGCGCGGCATCATCCGCATCCCCATCAGTTTTATTCAGGCCTCCGAAGGCGTCTGTGAGTGTGATAAGAATCGCTGATCAGTGGAAGAGCACTGCGATCGTAAAGGTGTAGAAACCGGGTGATAAAACCGCTGGGAGGTGCTCCAAGTCCAACGCCCCCTCAAGGGCAAGTCGGTGAACAACGACCCTGACAACGATCATTGATCATGTCCGACCAGGTACGAGTCACTCGTCGATTACTTCATAGCCTAAACGTATATTCTATTGTTTAAAAGTAGAAAGAGTAGTTTTTGTTAAAGATTGACGTTGGTATTGACCTATCAACAGGTGTTTATTAAATGATTGAATACAAGCTTAATACGTGGCGCGGATACTTAATATATACTTTGTGTGACTTCTGAGAAATCACTACTGTTCCTTTACTGAATAATTTTGTTCGTTATCTGGAAATCTGATCCATAAAACAAGATAAACACAGTTTCATCAATAAAATAACAGTACGTTAATAGGTACTGTGAACCCGTTGCTCAACGAAACGAGTTTACTTAAGCTTATCTAAGATAAACATTCGCATTCGTTTATTTTGCTTTTCCGATTACATGTTCCAAATGAGAAGAGGTTGGATGATGTAAACAACACACAGCTGTAGTCGTAAACAAAATGCTATAAGAACTGGCACAGCAAATATTGTTGTTTTGTAAAAGAGAACAACAAGCAAACGTGACTAAAATCATGTTCAGTATAGAAAAACAAATTGGCGCAGCCCTGAATATTTATGCGATTCGACTTCCTAGGGGGGCGTGTCAAAAACATATGTACATATCTATACTGGCATGCAAAAAATTAGCTTTCGTAAACACTAAAATAAATAAACAAGAGGGGCAACTGAACTGGACTTTGGAACGAATCGGGCGATTTGACTACCCAGAAAAATGATTATAAAAACACTAATAAATAATGATAGAGCGGGGGAGGCAAGATGAAAACAAAGTGTGCGGCAAATAAAACCCCAATTCATCTCGAAGCGAGGTGACATCTGTACAAAGAAACGCCAAAGGGAATTTAAAACAAAAGCGAAAGAAAAATTTCAACGAATTAATATTTTTGTGTTCATATGTATTATATCGACTCTATATATATGATTTCTTGTAAGGCACAAAAACAGCGCCTAGCAACATCAAAAAATTACCCGATTACGATCGAAATACTGAATTCAAGGCCTTGACCGGAGAGCTTTGTTTTCGAAGCCGAAAAGCTTGAATAGTTCTTGTCTTATCAAAACGCTCAAAATGTGCGATGTAAACAAACAACGAGGAAAACGGCATCGCAACCGACCCAAACCGGTTCCCCTTAGAGAGAGAGTCATATAGTAGTGGCCCCGGAGAGAGCTTTTCGGCTGATCCATTCAGCATCGGGGGCTGAGAATCCGTGACGAGGGCCCGACTACGACTACGCCCCACAAAACAGACAGAAACAATTTCACGTGCGTAACACCATCGCTGCCGACAGCTGCACACGACCAACACGTTTTCTCAGCGGAGCAAATAGCCTCGTGGCACAGTGGGCAAGCGGGGGTTTTGGGGTTGGTGCTGGGGTCTGGGGTATCCAATACGCGCCGGTCCCAGCCAATTGCTCTTGTTGTCATCTGCGCTCAGACAGCGAGCTTTCGGATTGCGTGTTTTGCCGAGCAACGCAAACTACAGCTCGTTTTATGAGGAGTTTTAGTGAGGTACCCTAAAAGGAGGGTATATATGAAGTCAAACCTATCGTAACTCTGGAGGGGTTTAGGTTAAGGTTGCGAAATTTGGTACTCAGATCAACCTAGATGTTCTTTGTAATATTATGCTAAAGTTACTGAAGAATAATGTTCTGCTTTAATTTCTTCAATCCGATTAATATTGTAGAATTAATATCTCTCCCTACAAATGTTTTATGAAAACGTTCACCTTTTAAGAAGCATTGTTTATAATTTGTTTATTCCGATGACACATTTATCAGTTAATATTCCCTTATCAAAGACCCAAAAAATTGCGTACTTTATCGGATCCGGTATCTCTTATGGATCTATAATTGACATTTAATTGGGCTCACTCATACACAGTAGACCAAAGAAAATGTTGATTAGCACCTCTGTGGTTGATTGTTTTTCCCCGATTAACCGACAATCTGCTTTGCTCTCCTGTCCTGATTAATGTCGATCGAGGGCATTGCTAATTCGATTAATCTCCATGTTTTCTGTATTATCTGGTGTGTTTTGCTGTTTTCTGTTTCGACGTTGCTGTCGGTAGAGGCCAACAACATTTCGAAAAAGCCCAAGCCGCAACTGTACCGCCGCACTGAAAACCAAAACAAATCGGCAACGTCGTCGGATACTTCTACGCCTCTCCTCTCACACAAAGAAAACGGGCAGTGGCGAAAAAGCTCTGCCACTCATTTTCGATAAAAAGAAATCGTTTAAATTGCGCGCACAACAAAAGCGCCTGAAACAGTTGCGACTGCAACGTCGATTTGTGACGACGGACCGTCCCAAGCGTCCTAGTTCCCAGCCAAAGGATACTAACAAAGAGTCTGCTCTGAAAACCAGCAAACTACAAGCCAACAAGCCCAAAAACCAAGTACAAAATGCTTGCCTAGCTAAAGAAACGGAAACATTGCGCATACGCCGCATAGTGCAAACAATAACTGTGATACAAGTTGAAATTTCTTGATTTTCGTTGGTCCTCGCACCAAAGCAACCTAACCTACCTACTTAATAACTTATTTGTGCTATCCCCAAACCAAGAAGCCGAAACAGAGGCAAAATGTCGGTGCCAATGCTGCTGACCCCCATGGAGCCCCAGAGCCCGGATGACCACATGAAAAATGTAATTACCCAAATCCTATTGAGAACCGGAAGTGTTTTCGCCCGGTGGTGAGACACCTTTCCGAACGTAGATATACTGCAAGTGTCTGAGCTTTGACTTTTTGGGGTGTCTGAAGGTCGATTTTGTTGTCATCGCCCATTTGCATGTCTTGCGCGTTTTTGTTTATGCAATTTTGTGGGTATACCAAAATCTATAAGAGGGAGGGGAAGTATCGGTAGAATATGTAACCACCTGGGTGGGGAAATAATTGCCAGCTTGGGAAATATTCAAATGGTTCAAGCACACCCTCCTTGGGGGATGGGTACAAAATCGAAAGGCTATATTTTATATTGTCCAATAACTGTAATTCAAGCTATGAGAATGAACTCAGCACAACAAAATATTTTAACTTCATGATGTCATATTTCATTTACTCGAGAAATCAACCTCCAACTCAATGGCTTCCAAGTAAAGTATCCCACTCTCAATTGTTTTTATTTGTGTAAGCTCCACAAACTGAGTGCCACATGTTGCAAAAAGGTATTTACCCCACGTGACTCAGTCAGTCACTTGAATTTTAAGTTTTCTGTAGGGTTAAGCTTTTGAGAGAGGCCCCAGCTCAAGTGGCTCATGTCTGATTAGATGTTGGCTTATTAATTTTTCAAGTGCCTGCCATAAAACATCGAGCTAATATATGGTTTCCGATATTACACTGACTGATAACAAGTTCAGCTGAAATTGTAGCCACATGGACGAGCTTTTCGCCCCCACTATAAATAAAACGCACGCGAAGAGTGGGCAGATGCCGAATCGCCCCAAACATGCGAAAGCTTTTCGAGTCTGAAATTTCCCAAAACAAAAAACATATGGCAGAATTTTGCGGAGAGGCGTTTTTGGGAGCGAGAGAAAGAGCGCTTGCGTTGAAAACACGTGAATAGGTGTTTAGAAATCGAGGTAAAGCTCGAATATCAAGGGAAGTTAGCATAGAGTTGAGAAATCAAAAGTTAAAAACAAATTCCTTCAGCATTAAAATTCGATTGAAAACTTGTCGATGTTTGGGTGCCGTTACTGAGGTGTTTTCTCCTCCGCAAAACATCACAAGGCTATGCTAATTGTGCCAAGAACGTGAAAACGCGACCAAATCGCGCGAAAAACGCACTGGCTGACGCAATTTGGGCGAAAATAATAAATGCGGAAAACTATATAATGCCTAGGAAACTATAATAAATGCCAACTCGCACAATTTGAAAATTTCGCCAGAACACGCGACTTTTGCCGCCCCCGTTGCCTTCAATTTGAAATGTTGCCAAGGAGGAGAAACTGTATTATGCCTATAGACAGATCCGAACAGTCGGCCGGTTAGGTGGGTGGATAATTTCACCGGCAATAAATCTAGGCAGCTCGGTAAACAGTTTCTGTGAGCGCAAAAAACGTGCTAACTTAATCGTAAATTTGCTTAATTTATGGGTTCGCTCCACTTACATAAACTTTGCCCATTGCGATTGTGTTTAGCGCCCAGTTGTCAGGGGCTCGTCGGCAGGTGTAGGGCAATAGGCAGCCGTTGCATCACCGATCCTCCGCTATGGCAGCAGCCCCAGAAACCGCAGCAGCGACAAAATCAGCAGCAGGCGGCGAAACCGCGTCAATTGCACTTGCTTCCGTGCGGATTACGCGCGATTCGCTCAAAGGTAAAACCGCTCAATATTGTTCAGTTTTTAACGCTTCCTATACGTCGGGTCAATAATTACAAGCTGCTAATGTTGAGAAAATAATCATATTTGTACACAACCTAGACAGTTTTAAATTTTCCTAAAAACTCGAATGCTTTGGTTTAACAACAATGTTCGTTTTCCCAAATATTTATTGGCAATAACTATAGGGACTATAAATTTCTCAAAAAAGTATCACGAATAAAAAATATCACGAATAATTAAGTGTAGGAATACACTTACAGAGGCCATTTAAATTTTCTTTGTTCACCCGTATTGATTTAATACTTTTTTGCACCTAAAAGCAAAAACCTGCAATTAAAACAGGAAATAACTCGAGTGCTATTAAAAAAATTGGCAATTAAGTAAAAAACTATTACTACTACAATCTCTGCTATAACTCAACCTTTTCACTACCAACATATTTTTTTGTTTTTGGGGGCTTGAGCTACACTCATTCCGGGGTTATCAGTTTGACAAGTGGTTACGCAAATAGAATTCGGATTGTACATAGGCAGGCCTAGCAAAAACCAGAAAGCAAATCAAACTACTGGACGTCAAGCTACCTAAGCGGATCGAATTCATTGTTTTTTAATTGCTGCTTTTGAGCTGCTGATAATCGGCGGAGCGATCTTTAGTCGAGCCCCAGTACAACACGTGATCTTGTTTTGCGGCGCTGAGAGTCACGAGCGGTTCGGGAGCGACTAAAGACGCGTGCTTATCGCGCGAACATGTTTTCGAATCTAATTTGAGACATCTGGGTTCGGGGGACCGGTGGTGGCAGCGGGGGCAGCGAAATCAGACAGTCGACGCCCCGCCTAGAGAAACTTTATCAGGGAGAAACGGAATCCGCAAGGGGTCATCGACTAATCTCGCTGGCGCAGCAGGAAAGCGTCGCGTATTTAATACCGGACCTCGTCGCTCGAGCGACTTTCAGTCGGCGGCCGAGCTCCACTCCAAGCCGATGGCCATGTCGCGGACTGTACTAATCCTGGCTCTTGCCTTGTCCTTGCAGTGCGCCGCCTACGTGGACGGAGCCTCGATCACCTATGGAACCGGAAACGAGCTGGAGTCCGTCCCCGGATCCACCGCCGCCTGCAAGCCCACTCTGCGGGAGTTCAACGTGCGGCTGGAGGCTCCCCTGGCCGCCGAGGAGCGTCTCGGTCTCACCGGCGACGTGAAGGCCCTCGGCGAGTGGCAGCTCTCCAGGAGCGTGCCGCTCGAGTCGCTGGACGAGCTCAACTGGCAGGCCACGGTGGCCCTGCAGTCCTGCCGCCAGCTGGAGTACCGATACTTCGTCTACGTGGAGGACCTATCCGGCTACAAGCAGATCCGCCGGTGGGAGACCCACTTCAAGCCCCGCTCCCTGGGTCCCTGCCAGGAGCTGCAGTGCAGCCAGCTGGACGTCTTCGGGATCACCTCGGACAACTCGGACCTGAAGCCGCAGGTGCACCGCGGCTGGCTCAACCACGAGGCCATTCTGCAGCTGAAGTTCAACGGCGAGAAGATGTTCCAGGTGCACGACATCGAGACCTTCGACCCGCAGCACGTCCAGCTGAAGGTGGTGCCCGTCGAGCAGACCGCCGGCCTCCACGTAGAGTACACCAAGCAGGAGTACGGCCGCAGCCAGCTGGAGCAGCAGCCCACCTTCGGAGTGCCGTACACCAAGGGCGACATCGTCATCTTCCACATCACGCTGCCGCTGGAGAAGATGATGCAGCAGCACTTCCGCCTCGAGTGCTACAGCATGTCCAACGAGCTCCTGGGCAGCGCCAGTCTGGTCAGCTCGGAGCTAACTGGCAGCGAGGGACTGCTGCACCTGCGCATCAAGTCGGCCAGGGATGCTGATGAGACTCTGGCCAGGCTGCGGCTCCCCTACGTGGCCGTGCAGCCGTATCGCTACTCGCCGCTGGACTTCAAGACCACCTACGCCCACTACTGGCCCAAGAGCTGGCCCAACCTGGACGTGGGTCACCGCGGCAACGGCAAGAGCTACATTGCGAACGCTCCTGCTGAGCGGGAGAACACCATCGCCTCCTTCCTGAGTGCCCACGAGCACCACGCGGACATGATCGAGCTGGACGTCCACCTGACCGCCGATGGCGTCCCAGTGATCTACCACGACTTCGGCCTGCGGACTGCGCCGCCCGGCAAGCAGATCAACCGGCCGGACCAACTGGAGTACGTGCTGATCAAGGACATCAACTACGAGCTGCTCAAGAGGCTGCGCATCTTCTCGGTGATCGCCGGCCAGGTGGTGGAGTACCCCTCGCACAACAACGAGCCGAGGAGCGAGCACCGCATCTTCCCCACGCTGGTGGAGGTGCTGGAGCAGCTGCCCAAGTCGCTGGGCATCGACGTGGAGATCAAGTGGCCGCAGCGCCGCCAGGGCGGAGGATCCGAGGCGGAGCAGACCATCGACAAGAACTTCTTCGCGGACAAGGTGCTACACCAGGTGATCCAGAAGGGCTGCGGCCGACCCGTAATCTTCTCCAGCTTCGACGCGGACATGTGCACGATGCTGCGCTTCAAGCAGAACATCTTCCCCGTGATGTTCCTCACGCAGGGCGAGACCAAGAAGTGGCAGCCCTTCCTCGACCTGCGGACACGCAACTTCATGGCCGCCGTCAACAATGCGCAGGCCTTCGAGTTGGCCGGAACAGCTCCGCACGCCGAGGACTTCCTGGGCGAGAACGCGCCCGAGATGCTGCAGAAGGCCAAGGACCTGGGCCAAATAGCCGTCATCTGGGGCGACGACTGCAACTCGAAGGAGCGTGTGGAATATTTTACCCGCATCGGGGCCACCGCCACCTGCTACGACCGCAGCGATCTCTTCATGCCCGCGGGCAAACAGGAAGCCTTCTTCAAGTCACCCGCTCTGATGGCCGAGTTCGCAGCCCAATGCCGGAATTAGTGGAAATAGGGTTAGCAGAAGAAGAAGCAGAAACGGGCGGGTATTTCTAAGCAATGGTTAATCGTTAGGCCTCTAAGGCTAGTCTGTATATTTATTTAAACACTAACTGGGAAAGAGAAATGTGAGAAGCTTTGGAGTCGCTGGGTAATTTGAAACACCGAAACGGAACAGAAACCCTCGAAGAAATCATTTCTACACACGTTAAGCCGTCATTTGGCATAATTACACATGCAAAAAGGAATTCCTCCAAAATTAAGTAGCACCACAAAAGACAATGGGAAGAAAGCGAAGCGAAGAGTCGAGAATTACAAAAACACATACACCTACATTACCTGCTAATAATCTATCTATCTATACCTCAAGCAAAATAAGCGAAAATATAATGCTAATAAGCTTCTTTTAATTAACGCGTAACTACAGATAATAATAACGTCTAACGGTGAATATATATTCAGTGAGTCGATGTAATATCAACAGAATTGTTTGTCACTTGAGCAAAAACTATTTTTATATTAGAGAAGTATTTTATATAACTGTTGTAAAATAAATTTGAGGCGTGTTTATACACATTTTAAAATGTCCGATTTGTTTGAAATGCTTTGTTTCTGTTTTAAAATCTGTTTAATAATTAACACAGTAATTAAGAAAACATATAAGAAAACCAACTCTATAAACTCAAAGAGAATACCATATACAATGGATTACAATATATATTTAAAGATGTCGCTTACAATATTTAAACTTCAAGAATACACTTAAAAGCAATCATATATTTTTATCAATATTTAAAATCAGTTTAACGACGAAAAACCAGAAGCGATAAGTGATTAACAAGTCGTATGTTTAATAAAATCACATAAATATTTTCATAATATTTTAAAGAGCAACTGAACCGAACGATGTGTTTTACTCTGATCTCTGAATAATGAAAAAGAAATTCTCTGCCCCAGCCAAATCCGTATGTTAAAATTCGATCCGCTTACATTTGATGGCCCCGTGACGAATGTAAAACCAGCCATGAAAATGCTGAGCCCGAAACACGACCCATAAACGGAAAACGGGGAGTGGGCCATAAAAAGGTTTGGCCCTTACGTTGGAAGTCGGCCTAAAGTCCGTTCGGTTTATGGTCAATTAGAGAGCACCTCATTTGCATCGGTCTTGGCATGGCCAAATGCGAATGTCTCGTTGGCTTGGGCCTGGTTTCATTGCTGTTCGCCACCTCCCTCGATGCCTTTTGGCTTTGGAGGTGTTTGTACAAAGAATTCCCAGTGGACGTCGAGAAGGTGAGAAAGTGCTGCCGACGATCTTGAAATCCGATAAGCAAACAGCCGCTACTAATTGAGTCCTGACTTGGCTTTTGCAGATCAAGGGCGGCTGGTATGTTTATGGGACCAATCCGCAGAGTATAAAAGCTTGCTACTTCGAAGATCGTAAGTTGAATAATTGGCGTGGGAGGTTCTTTATTTATAGGTTCGTGCTTCTGAGTGAAAAAACTTGTGTAAAGGTCGATAGGGGAATTAATAGATTGATTATCGTTTGCTTTTGTGTAGGAAAATAAATCATTTTGACCATTATATCATCTTAATTTATTTTAAAAATTTGTTTATTAAAGAGTTCGTTTTTTGATTACCAAGTATCAGAACTAAGTTTCGTTTGATTTTACAACAGTGGATCTGTATTGGACGAGAATCACCGACACAGACTACGATAACTACGCTGTGGAGCTCCACTGCTCCTTGCCTTGGATGCGTCATCAGATGGCCATATACACCCGCCAACCGACACCCACTGAAAAGACTCTCAAAGCCATAGATGCCTACCTCAAAACCGTCCAGCTGTCGGTTAAAAACTTCACCTTAATCCGGCAGGAAAAGGATTGTCTCACCCAGAAGCCCCCAACCATGCAGCGATGGCATTTGTCCCGGTACCTTTACATGGACTACAATCCGGTTTATGTGAAGCCCTTGGTGGAGAACGAAAACATCTGAGCCAGTGATTGTATCACATCTCTGCTCTCCCACTGGCAACTTTCTTTACCCAGAAATTTACATATGCCAAATTTGGTACAGATATGCGAATGTCTTAAAACAAAGAACGAACTTTCAAGAAAACCGAAGCTGAGATACTCTGTTTAATAGAAAAGATTACACTTTTTTTACAGAAGTAATGAGGTAATTTTATTTGCTGCTATACAAAAATTAATTTATTCGGTGAAAGGTTTTCCCCCACTGCCGCTTAAAGTTCCCCATTTCAGTTTGTATCTCTTTAATGTTTTGATTAGCCCAACTTCTGTCTGCTCACGCTGTCATCGCTTTAACCTCACCTATCAACTCAATTAGTGAGCTGCCGCTGACTTATTAGCCAGAGTTTCTTCGATCGCAGCTGATTCGGGGTCCGATTCAGATTCCGATTCCCAGGCGAACTCCAATTTGGACGGAAACAAAACCACGGTGAGCATCAAGAAATTCTTTCATTCGGTTGTTTGTCATCGTCGGGTCAAGTTGCGTCCGCATCCGATCCGCGTTCAACGTTTTTGTTTTCGATTTTGTTTTCATCTCCGATTTTGGGTCTATTTTAAAAATTATTTCGGCTGAAAGAGAAAACTTGTTTCGGTGGCGCGAAGATGGTGGTGTTGCCGTGTGGAATGAGGAAAAATGTATCGGTCTCTTGTGTGGTTGAATGTGTTAAAATCAATTAGCATACCCCATGGGCTTCTTCTGCTGCAACTTCTGCCCTGGTGCGGTGCCTTTGTGAATGGAACGACTGTCTTCGGACCCGAGAAGCTGCAGGCCTTCAAGATCTTCGACGATGAGCAGCCCAGCCAGATCTCGGGTCGGAGCTTCGTCTGCGTCCCGCTCTTCCGGGTCTTCACCCTGGAGCTGCGCCACAATGTTCGCCTGGCAGCCGACGAATTCGTGGCCGTGAGTGGAGATCACCCGGCTCTGGGCTCCTGGCAGCTGGAGAAGGCCCTGCCGCTCAAGGAGCAGGACAAGGCCCGCTCGAAGTGGTACCTCCGGGTGTGGATCTGTGCGAGTCAGAGGTTCTACTACCGGTACGTGATCTACTCGAGGAACGGCCAGGGCAAGCGGATTCTGAGGAGCTGGGAGGGCCAGAGAGTGGCCAGAATGCTGCAGACCTACGAGATCTACCGTTCGCCGGGTCTCGACATCTTCGGAGAGGCCTATCCCACATCCGTGGGCGGGGGATTTCACGTGGAACGCGGTTGGCTGCAGTACGAGTATGTGATTGAGCTGAAGTTCGTCTGGCAGAATCACCTCGATATATCCGGGATAGGAAGCAATGCAAAATACCGCTTGATTTTGACCCCGCTGAATGTGATAGACGACACCCGGATTGAGGTCTCCAGATATGCCTACAACCAATCGTCTTTCAGACCCCAAAGCCAAAGGGGAGTGAGGTACAGCCAAGGATCGATTATGGTATTCCGAGTGTATCAACCATTGGACACCCAAAACGCTCTCAGGCTTTCCATATATCAAGGAGCAAGAGATGTCCAGTTGGCCGTGGGAGAGGCTTACATATTCCCGGAGCAAATCAAGGGAAGCCGTGGCATCCTGCAGGTGCCCGTTTTTGCGAGCTTCCAAAACATCGCCATTGGAGAGCTGACTCTGCCCCACTTGGTGGTTCAACCCATGCCAAAAGTGGAGGCAGGTAACCTGAGGGCCAGCTTCCACCACTACTGGCCGGATAACTGGCCTACGTTGGATGTCGGATATCGAGGAATGGGTGCCAGCTATTTTCAGTCATCAACTATTCTCACTGAGAACACCATTGAAAGTTTTTTGGCAGTGCAGAAGGCTAAAGGGGACATGGTCCAATTGGATGTGCAGCTGACCAAGGACTACATTCCCGTAGTTTGGCATGGTTTCGGATTCTACACCTCAGATAGAGATCGGTCGATAAGGGATCGCATTGATCTGCGATTCGTACTGATCAGGGAGCTCACCTACGCCGAACTGAAGGCCAGTCGGGTGTTTATCCTCAAACGTTGGACCCTCCAGGAGTACACCCATCTAAATGTGAAGGATGTAAATCAAAACCAGAGAATATTCCCCAAGCTCTCGGAAGTCTTCGAGGCTCTACCCAAAACTTTGGGTCTTCTTGTGGAGATCAAGTGGCCTCAACTAATGGCATCCGGTGTGCCGGAATCCACGCAGGGTTTGAATAAGAACAACTATGTGGATAAGATTTTACAGACCAGCATTTATTATGGATGTGGACGTCCCCTGATCTTCGCCAGCTTTGATGCCGATATCTGCACTATGATCAGACTCAAGCAGCAAGTTTTTCCTGTTATGCTAATGAGTATTGGGGATTCCCACATCTGGGATCCCTATATGGATCTGAGGACACAGAGTTACCAGCAGGCCATTAACTTTGCTCAGTCGGCAGAAATCTTGGGAACAGCTCTTCATGTCGAGAACTTCCAGAACAACCATCAGTTGGTCAACTTGGCGTTGGATCTCCAGCAAGTTCTGTTTTTGTGGGGAAACGATCTCCAGGATATCCATCTTCTAGAGCAGTTCCGAGCATTGGATGTATCTGGTCTAATTTACGATCAGATGGACAGGGTGGGACCTTCCAGTTGGAAACGATCCGACTTTTTCCGGGCACCGCAACTTCTAGAAGTATTTGGAGCTCAGTGCGTAATCAGCGGAAACTCAACTACCATTCCGGGAATAAAGCCAGCTAAACCGACTATTTGGCCAAAGCTGAGATAGTATTTGGGTAAGGTTAGAGAAAGTTTAAAATAAATAATAAAATTATTAGTAAACTCATGTTTAGAATTAGACGAAGATATTATGCTTATTAATAGAAAAATATATAATTAATAAGATATATATTAAAAGGGTATATTTCAAAGGCTTTAAATACAAGTAGAACATTAAAAATATCGTTAGTAAGCTTTGGATTTAAAGCAGCCTTCCGGGGTAAAAAAACAGTCAATAATAATATAACCAAATTTAGTGAATATAATTTAATTGCATTAAGTCAAAAGGAATTAAAATGATTTTGTACAATTTGTACATTTTCTTAACACATTTATAATGAGATTAGCATTATTTGCATGTATTTGGTCTTAAATGAAAATGTATCAAAGAGTTAATTCAAACTTTTGGATTTTTCTACATTTATTTTAATATCTCTCAAAGTTTAAACAAATTTTACGTTGCCTATATGTATGTAGAAAATGTGTAAATGTAAGTTTGGAAGTAAAACCAATGAATAAACTTAAGAGCTTAAGACCTTAGCCTGCTGTAGCTAAGCAGATACCGATCTCACAATAAAGAATTTGTAAAAAATGTAAAATTTTATTGAACTGGTTTATTTATACAAGCTTTGCAGACATCGCGCACCAGGTAGTCGTACTCCTCCCCTCGTCTCTGCACAAAATCTGAGTCCACACACACACACACACCGCCAATCCATGAAGCAATCAATCAATCAATCTGGAAATCGGGGAACCCTTCTACTGAGTGGAGCAGTTGGCGTCGGTGTAGAGGTCCATGTAGTCGTCGGAGACACAGGCGCTGCCGATGGGCATCGGCTGGCAGATGCCCTGCACCTTGCTAACCACCTCCACGTGGCAGGAGCGGTGGCCGTGGGAGGAGAGCTTGTGGAACCCGCCGGTCGGATGCTTGAGGATGATCTGCGGCTTGTGGCTGCTGCGGTGCTTGGTTGGCGGGGCGGGGGCGGGGTCGTCGAAGGTCAGCCAGTCGGGGGGCATCGAGTGCTGGGCCCTGCCTGCTCCGGGCTGCTCCCCGGCCACGTCCTGCTCCACCTCGAGCGGCAGGTCGACGCCGTCTACTTCCTCGTCCAGGGCGATGGGGAATCCGACTTTGGCCTTCCCCTCATTCTCGGCAGCCAGCAGCTGGGGACTTAGCACCAGGGCGTTGGCGATCAGCAGGGTGGTGGCGCAGTGGAGCAGCAGATGCAGTGGGGCCATTCTGCCAACCGAGTCCAGCCGGGATTGCTGCGAGTACTTTTTCCGTGCACTGGCCGTGCATAAATGTGGCTATTCCGCAAGCCGGTCCGGCTTTTATAGCTCCCCGAAGCAAAGGACAGTCAATGACCCAACAATTGAAATTGAAAAGAAGCCACTCAAGGAGGAAGCAGCCAGCAGCCAACGGATAGCAGATAGCAACCAGCATCCGGAGAAATCCTTGCGAACCTCCACCCACGCGGACACAAAAGGCGTAATTAATTATAGTTGAGTATACGCCACGTAAGCCACAGTGACAAGGACGCCCTGCGGTGCTTCCTCCCTGGGAGCCGAGAAAATTGGAAATCTATTCCCATTTCGATTGCGTTCATTCTCTTCCTCGATTCCATTTGGTTCGGTTTCGGCGCCGCCTTCCTTTTGTATTTCCGGCAATTATTTTCGACGATGTGACAATATTGCCGACAGTCGGGATTCTCAGGAGGAGCCAAAACGGGGGATTGCGGGTCTTGGATTCGAGTCCGAGTGGAGTGGGTCCTTAACGACTTCATAAGCATCTCGTCCAATTGAATTCAAATGCAGTTGCCTTGGACCCGCAGGAAAAGCACTCGCCCTCAGACAGAAAATCAACGACAACATTTAGCGGAAGTGGAGCTGACGCCATTTTTAAAATGGCGCATACGTGTGCGACGTGTTTATGGCAGATTTTTTGGATAAATGACATGACAGCCAGCAGCTGCCTAACAAGTCTAGGCGAAAGCCAGTCAATAACAACAGCCAAGATAGAAATTTCGAGGCAAACGAATCCAGATCAGTCCGTGATTGGCTATGTGACTTCCGTGATTCCGCCACGTGACTGCTTTAAATCTTTAAATCGCTTTAGGATTTCGGAATTTAAATCAATTGAATAGCTTGTAAACTGATTATCAAACGAGGCCAGCATGATTGTTCCATAAGATGATAATGAGATAACGCTAAGAACGGCAGTTTGCACTTCCGTTAAACAATTTCAATTTTGTATATCAACTTGAGGGTCTCTCCAATTATTCCCCTGACAATTCCAGTCACAGTTCAGATCATCTCTAATGGAAACAATCCGGGGGGAAACAGGGAGTCTCCTTCGACGGAACGCAGTATGAATAGCTAAGGACAGGCACCGCAGACTAGACAATGCCGATAGGATTCGCTGAATCATTAAATTATACGCCAAGCAGAGGCATTCTTCTCCTCCAGGCAGAGGCTACAAAAATATGGGCCAAAGTGGCACGTGAAATTAATTTAAACGCCCTGATTGTGGACGAATGACATTCGCTGTCCTCGGCTCGGCAACCGATTAGCTCGTTAGCAATTCAATTCGGCCCTAATAGATGGCCCAAAAGAGGGCCTAGTAGCCTAACCCTACCGCGGTTCACCTCAATTTCCTAGTCAAGGCAAGCTAATTAAACGCCTTTGCCTCTGCCGATGCCTCTGCCAATGCTTTTGCCTTTGCCTTTGCCCAGCTAATTAGAGCAGCTGTCACAGATGAAGCTGGTATGCCAGCCAGGACGAGAGAGCCCAGTGAAGGCAGTACAAATAATTCAATTAAATTGCTTTAAATTGCAGACTCGACAACAAAGTCGACAAAGGGGGAAGACAAACCGCAGCCACGGAAGCCGAGGCATTTCCACAAACCGCCGTGTCGAGCAAAAGCAAAAGCCAAATTTAAAGCCAAAGACGACTAATGCAAATACCCCTTTTGAAAAACAACCGCAAAGCCAAAATGCCAAGTCGAAATTGGCAGAGAAAAGAGGATATAGACATGCAATAATAATTCAATGGAATTTAACTGGGATTCTAGAATAGTTGGTGGCTATGGGGTAACTAATAAATATTAATATAAACCAAAAAATATGTTCTTTAAATAACCATAAATATTATAAAAATATTATAATTGCAAACATTTTATAAAAAAAACAAACCAATACTTATAAAGAGTATAATCCATTTTGGGAATAAACAGAATTGAATTTCGACTCCTTTAAATTTTGAAACGTAATATTAAATTTAAATTGAAAAGTTATAAGCGTGAAGGCACATTGAACCACTTTAACAAGTGATAGGTAAAATGGCATATGATTTTATTTAAAAACGAGAAAGGAAATCGAACAGGAAATTGAATTTGTACAGAGTTTTATTGCATTTGATTCAAAAGTTGATTGAAGCTGCATGTAAATCGAATCTAAAAAATGTGTGTACCAAATTATGTATGCATAATTATAAAGGGTTGGCAGGCAACGGAAAAAAGTATAAAACAAAAAAATTGTTATTAATCCACCCTCCTTAAAATCGGCAAGCTGATATTATTTATTTGATTAAAAAATAATCAGTTTTACACATTAATTTTTTTCGTATTCGCTTGTTGCCTTTGTTTACTTCATTGTAGAATATTCAAATGTAATTAAGAGATTACAAACATTAATTAAGTGCGTAAAGTGTTTTCCTACTTAATTGCATGTTTAATAATACTTGAGGTAATAAAGTCCAATGTTTAATAATGATAAATTTAAATGGCTGTATGGCTAGTAATTACACATTGAAAATGAAATTTTTTTAAGCTCAATCAGTGGAAGGGTTTAAGTATTTAAAGAGAACCACCTGCAGTTTGTTTACCACTTCTTATTTGGCCCGCTTTAATGGCTCACTCCCCTGAAGGCCATCAAGTTTATTGCGCACCCTTAACCAAGTCAGTTGCCTCTTGACGCCTTTTTCTGCTACAAAGTGCCAAAGCCGGCGTGACAAAATTAAGAGCAGTCTGAGCCTTCTGGAACAGGAGAGCTATGTTAGGCCAACTGCAAACAGCCATTTGTCCTCCAATGACTTAATGTGGCCATATACTTTCTGGTTGGGTTTTGGGCTTTGGTCTAGGTCCCAGGCGTCTGCTTGCTCAATTTAATCTTTGACGCGCCAAAAATGATGGAGCACGGACAACTTTTCGGCGCCGTCAACGTTTTAATTTGCATTAAAACGCGACGCGACTGGAGTTGGCAAAACTCGCTCGAGCAACTATTAAACTAAACTTACAACACGGTTGGGTTATAAGTTTTTCGTTCGCGCGTTCCGTGAGCTTGCATACAAATGGGCCTCGAAATCGGCAGCAGCAGCCCCAAGGATTTCCCGGGACTTCCCCAACGCCCAGTCCTCCCTCCTTAAGGCTTTAATAATGCCCGCTTTTGGCCACAAATCAGTGGGTTGTTGAGGGGGTGGTGGAGAAGAGGTGGTGGGGAGAATGTGGCCAAGGGTCCAACAAGTTGTCGGCTTAGCGTGTGGGCCGTTTTGTCTGCCCAGCGGGAATCATAAATTGTGAGATGGGGCTTAGCCGCCATGAGGTATGGCCGATCGGATGAATGATTTACGCTAATGCCGGATCGGTAGGAGGCCAAACTTTTATGCTCAAAATCCTGGAACAGAAGTGCCATCGGAAAACTTTAATCACGATTTGAACGCATATCCTGTAAAGGAATTTTAAGTTTAATTAAACAACTTACAAGTTCTAATTCGATAATTATTTTTGTATAACAAGTAAATAATATTAAAAAAAAACTGCATCGCGTATTTTATTTAGATTAATTAATAGGTAATAACTTAAATTTTAATAAATATGGCTTTTCTTTTTGCAAGTAATATGTTTTTTCTTTCTTTGAGCTCCGACATAAAGAAGCTAAGAAAGAACTATAACTTAAAAGGGATCAGGTTCGTTAACGGGTTAGATTTCCCACTATCCTAGTGTCCGGCAACTCCGAAAAGCTTTTAGTTTGTGCGAATTTCAGCCGAATCGATAGTGGAGAGCAAAGAGCAGCTGGCACATTCCACATGCCCCATGCCACTTGCCACATGCCACCCATGGTGAATGGACATGCGGAAGCTCCGCCGGTGCTCCGGCCACTCCACTTCGATGTGGATTGCGCTGCCACAAGACTATTTAAAAATTAACACGACTGAAATCCGCCATTTTCGCGCCAGTTAAGTAACAGGGTCAGGGGTCACGAGGGAAAGGGAAATGCGAAATGGGAAACGGAAAATGAGAATTAAAACCAGACTGTGATGCATTGCAATGAGCTCGGCAGTGCGGCCCACATCTTTTCGAGTTCGCAACTCAATGCCCGCCTCCGAGATCAAAGGAACACAGTGAGCGGGAAAAAAGAACGGAGAATAAAAGTTTTTAATACTTTTGGCCAAAAACGAAGGAAGCGACTCGAACTCTGGGCGCCATAAACTTGGCCTTGCCTCAGACAGACTTAAGTATTAAACGTACATACAGAAAAACGGAATGATAATCCTTGATCAACGAATAAAGACGACTATATTTTTAATCAAAGGTACGCAATTTATATTTAAAATGAAAAATATTCTCTTTATGTCTTCTAAGTTTAGACAAAATCAATACAAATAAATTTATATAATATTGTTATAGAAAACTAAAAAGTGAATACTTGGCATTTTGTGTTTGTAATGTAATCTCTGAGCTTTTAAATTTATATTAATAATATTTAAAAAAGTCCATTCCTAAACTCCGAATGAGGTAAAACACAAAAACTTATTATTCTTAGTGCAAAACCTTACTAAAGACTGGAAAAGAGAAATTTATATGCAGCAAACGCTGCAACAGTTTTTCTCTACCAATTTTGCATAATGCAAAAGAGCCCTTCACTAAGCCGGAATACTAGTATCCTCATCCAGAGTTCAGCTTCTTGATAACATTAAAGTTGGCTACCATGAAATGCTTCACACTTTTCCCTGTTAAACACAAAATTGAGTTGTAGTCATGAAAATTTTATTCGAAGCCCATAAAACGAAAGGTGCAGACAGGTGTAATCCAGGCACCGAATATCAACCTAAGTGACTGACCAGCCAGTCAAATTAAAGGAGCAACCGTAAACTAAAAGCTAAGAGTTTATTCGGACGTGAGAAGGGCAATGAATCCCTAAAAATTAAATAAATATAGGCTGAGGGTTGGAAGAGGAACATGATTGTTGAAGGGAAATCGACCCATTTTTAATGCCCTTAGGTATAACACA